GCAATATATGAGTTATTGTACATGTCATAATTCCCTTACCCTTACATAGCAATATATAAAAAAGTTGTACATTGACCTGTTGATTGAATTTTAGTGCTTTGCCATTTCTTTTGTGTCATTTTGGGGTCTAGATGAAAAAAAGTTTGTTATGTTCTTTCAAGTGAAACCAATGTGACGTGAATCAAAGTCTGCAAAATATGATTCATAAATGTGAATTGCAGATATTTTTAGCTGAACTTTCGCAGTTGTGAATGGCTGAATAGCATTCGAAACCTGTGAAATCCAGAGAGTACAGACCTCCAACAAATAAAAATAGCTTTAACGTTAAGCATAATATACAAATTTTAACCATCCTTTGCTTCAAAAACTTTGAGCTGCAAAGTTGTTCTAGTCAAATTTGAAAATTGAAAACCGCATGAACTTTGTTAACTGTTGTGCACAGATTGGCTATTGCTAATGCTCTGAGGTTTCCTTGGTCTACTTGGACTCATAGCTGAGGACAAGTGGGGCTCTCGGCTTACTCTGGCATAACGAGAACACGGATTTAATGGTGATGCACATGGTGATTGATATCCATTTCCATATGTGGTGATCGCGGGTGATCTTGGAGATGAACCTTTTAGGCTTCGTGTTGGAGAAGACATAGTTGATGACTGTATTCTCTTAACTCTAGCTGGTGAAGATCTTGGTGATGGGTCTGTCAGTTTTTCTACAAAAAGTCATTTATGTTAAGAGTCTGAGCTAAATATTCTCATTACAAAAACATGCAAGTTGACAAAGTTGGAAGAGCTAATCTGGTGTAGTGCTAGTCTCTTTGTCCTGTAGTTTTTTGTGAAATGGTGCTTTCTTTACTGATACCTTTGAATTGCTTGGTTTCGATGCTGTTATCTCAGATGACATTGAGTTTTGATTGGCTTCCGGACTAGATAGAACTTTCTTCTCTGGATTCTTGGATTTTGTTCTTCTTGACAAAGCTTTCCTTTGTGTAGGATCACCACGAATGGTCTTGACATTGGCAGCTGTTGATGACTGCTTCTTTTCTGGACTTTGAGAATCTTTTGGTTGTTGGTTATCAGATGAGTTTTTCTCCTCTGGAGTTGCAGAACTTATTAGTTTCTGATCATCTGGTGCATGTTTCTTTTCTTGAATCTCGGAATGAGTTATTATCTGATCACCTGATGAATTTTTCTTCTCTGAAATCACAGGAGACACTGTTTTCTGCTCACTCGATGAAGGTTTTCTGTCATCTGTTTTCGTAGACATTACATTCTCCTGGATTTCCAAAAGATTCAGCTTTTTATTCTTTCTCATTGATGAAATGGCCTTCCGTGGTGTTGTATCAACACGCGGTGAGGACTGATCACCTGATGGTGTTAGTATTTCCTTCCTTTCCAGAATATCATCATAGATTGACTTTTCATTTGCTGCTGCTGGGAATTTCTCTTTCGGACTCTCAGAACTAACTGACATTTGCTCAAATGAGGAAACTTTTCGAAGTGGTGTCTCGGATATGACTGACCTCTGATCCCAGAATCTTGGATCTTTACTCTCTATTATCTCTGAACAAACTGACCTTCGATCACTTGGACCGAAAAAGAGATCATCCATTGCATCCATATGCTCATTGTCGCTCTGCATTGATGCTGTCCTGTGGCTCGAATAACCATAATGTGATGAATCCCAGTGCTTATCTTTAGAGTTTCCAGATATTCTCTCTTTCTCAACAAGTCTATAAGCAAACATCTGGAAAGGAATTTGTGATACCGGGGCCAAACCAGTGCTATCCTCTCCCGGGAACTTCTTTGAGTAGCCAGCCTCGATTTCACAGTAGTCTACGAGTGGAGGAGGACATTCAGGTTGGCCATGTCCTGGATTGATGACAAGTACTTTCTTGATATAATGCAAAATCCTACACAAAGAAGAGAAACTTGGGCGAAGGTCTGGATTCGTTTGCCAGCATTTTCTTGTCAAGTTTACGAGATATTTAGGTGAAGGATGCGGGAAGAGAGGTCTCTCCCCTGTTCTAATATTCTGCGCCATTTTCTCCCCTTGGAGATGTTCATCAAACGGAGCTTTCCCCGTTAAAAGTTGAAAGCATATCATTCCATAACTATAAACATCAGCCTTCTCTGTATACTTGTAAGTGCATTTGCTTTCTGGTTTTTCCTTTTCAGTGAGAATTTCTGGTGCATACCATATGAAAGACTCAGCAGAATTTTCATCAGCAGCCTTATAACTACTCTTAATAGATTTTAAACCAAATCCTTTAACTTTTGCATGAAAATAACTCTCCGCGGAGGGATTTCTTGGTTTAAGGAGCACGTTAGATGGATTCAGCTCTCCGTGATACATCTTTTTCGAGTGCAGATATTCCATCCCTCGAGCAATCTGAAGCATAATATCGACAGCAACTTGGACAGTAAATGGTCCTTTCTTCCTCTGACTCGAATGCTCTTTTATGTAAGGTGCTAAACTTTTATTCATTAGCTCCATAACAAGGTATCCTTCTTTCTTTTCTTCGTCGTAAAAACCACAATGATATTGCAGAATGTTGGGATGTGAAAGTGAAAACACTAGAGAAATATCAGCAACTACTGGTTCAATCAGCTCACCAAAAAAGTTCCTCAACGCAAACGTTTCTCCTAACCATTGAATCTCCTTAACATGTCCTCCTCGCGAGCCTAAACGTCTCTTCACATGATAATCACTTGCTCCAATCAAGACTGAACTAGGCAAGAGCATAATTTGTCTGAGTTGCTTTGATCCATCTAGTTTCTTGAGCAATATCTCAGCTAGACTATGCTCGTTTATCGCCAAATTTTCTGCAACATTCATCTTTTGACTTATCATTTCAACAAGATACCATCTATCTTCTTTCCAACAACTCTCCAATTCACTACATATCTCTCTAGTCACTAAGTATTGTTTCCCAAACATCCATTGAAAGAATCTTGGATCACACATTGACTCTCCCTCGTACTTTTTAGCGAGTGCAGTCCTCCTCTTCTGCATATCTTCCTCATCGAATCCTGAGATTTCTGCAACTGTCTCAATAGCCTCAATCACAACAGGGAAACAACAGAGCAAATTGTGAACATGAAACTCAACACAGTCCTTATTGAGATGTAAACTTATAGCTTTGCCCCATAAATCTTTCACATCCAAACAACTTTTTATGTACATTTCACCTTCTTTAAAGATCCTATGAAGCTCTTTCATTGGATGTTCAAGTGCTTTCCACTTTGTGTTCCTCTCATTCAACCTTAGATTATGTTTGATCCCCTCGGAAATCGTGTCGAAAGCTTGTACATACATGTCAAACAGAAGACAACATTGCTTCTGGTTTATTTGAATGTCATGTTTCAATATCATTAGAGCAGTTAAGCTCCCAACTACCTCACCAATCTGCCTGAATTGATCCATTCAGCTTCAAGAAAGTTAAATACAGTCAGACTTCTCCATAACAATCATCGCTAACATTTTACTATAACAACCATGTTTTCTATGGGACTAACAACATTTTGCTATAGCAACCTAAAATATTGGGACAAACAACGTTGTTATAAAGAGGTTTGATGGTATATTTGAAAGTAGAGCAACATTAGTAGAAATTTCATTGTATGAGAAAGCATATGAACATCCAAAAATAAGGTATGTTGAACCATTAATTGTAATTCATCATGACATAAAAACTAATTTAGCATTTATTGCAAGTAGAACAAGCAAGAAAATTGCATCATGTGAAGCTTCACACATATATAATCAAATTAACAACAACTACGTCTAAGTCTTGAACAAGTTGAGGTTGGGGCGGTCAGCTATATGAATCATCATTGTTTCATATAACGAAATACGTCTTATCTAAACATTATGAAGCCAAAAAAAATCAGGGAATTAATGAAAAACGCGTACCGACTACAAAATAGGCAAAATTGAGCTGGATTTTTGCAACTTGGACAAGGAAAAATGCTGAATTCTATTAGATTGTGATGAATCTAATAGAAATTCAGCACCAACCCTTTTTTTTATCTGATCAAGAAACCAACTTTCTGGTAATAAAATCTTCAGAAAAAAAGTATCCAAATTATATGTGACTATGGTAACATAAAATTTAAAATTACCAAGGGTGACAAATTATAGGTTGTTTTAAAAAATGACAAAAGAACCAATGTATTTTTAAGGTTTATTCTTATAAGATTTTTGGTTTCTTTTTGTTCATTTTTTTCTGCCAACCTGATCAAGAAAATGGAAAAGTTGTTTCTTTTGGATTTCAGAGATGAAAATGGCTGTTAACGCAATTCCGTTTATTTTGGGGCTTATTTAAATATGTTTCCGCAATTTTAGCTGTTTTTCTCATTTTTTTAAACGAATTTTCTGTCAAAAGCAATTTCATTCACATGATTTAAATCCGACTAGATTCTAGATGTATTACTAGTTTACCTAAGGAATATTTAACATAGGGTTACTTCACTTTTGGTCGCTTAGGTATTCATAAATTCTAATTTTAGTCCCTATGATATCTGACTAAATAAATTGAACGTCCAATTTTGTAGAGTTGTGCAATTTTTATTCCTTTACTCGTAAATATATGCTAATCTTTGTTGGAAGCATGCACTTGAGGACTTAATTAAAAAGGTCAAAATATATCTCTTAGAAATTTATTTAAAAGGAGCATATTTGATCTTTTAAATTATTTAGGGATATATTTGAAACAAAAAAAATAACACTAGAAGCATGTATAAGTTGATATGCTAACGAAAGACATGAAACAAATCACAAAGCATTCACTCTTTTTTGAAAAAAAGACTATAAGGCTATGTCATTAATAAAGTAGCTCATAGAACATTCATTATTCATTTAATATACTATAAGGTTTCCAATTGTATCCGTCAGTAAAATGCCTAGTAGTCTCTGACTTGGTCTTCGAGTGATAACTGGCCTCATCCTAGATATATTGGCTATAAAAGGACTACATTATGTATGTTGAGAAATCACAAAGAAAAAGAATCATGAGTGGAAGTGGTGCTTGCTCTTATAATAACCCTTCATATACTACAACAACCATGTTTTCTTTGAACCAAAACAAAAATAATCAATCTCAACTTCAAGTCAAAATCGAAAATTCGAAATCATGTTACACTTCTAGTACTTGTACTAGTAGTAATTTTCAGATGCCATTGCACTATCCAAGGTACAAAAAATCCGATTACGAGACGATGCCGATGTGGAAACTCGATTGCCTTCTCAGACAATATGGACTACCGGTGATCGGAGATGTTAATCACAAGAGGAAGTTTGCTATGGGAGCTTTCCTTTGGCCTAGCCAAACTTAAGCACTTTGAATGATTCGGAATATTCTGGGACGAGTTCTGCAGGTTCAACTGAACGTTACTAAATTTAAATTGTGAATTCGACTAGAAATTGTAATATTGAACTATGATCATAGTCATGGTTTTATTATTATTGAAATAATGCGATATGTCATAATGTATCCTATAGGAACATTAGTAGTGTTTTATTTTAATTTCCTCTCTTACTATATTTTATCCCTAGATTAAGGTTTCTTTAATTTAATTTACTATATATGGTGTAATTTGAATAAATTTTGAAAGAATTATCAGTGTAGCTATACATTTGCAAGGGGTTTACTTCTTTTTGGTTTTTTTATTTAGTGTTTGGTCCCCATTGGAAACAAATAATCCAGATTAACTTTAGCGATAAATTTCGTAACGAGTTGCCATTTCTTAACTATGAAAATAATATTGCATGTAGTTGTGGTAAGGTTTTGCAACCACGTACAATCTACAATATTGACTACTTCATCTGAATCCATTGGATAGATATTTTTTCTTTCTTTCATTTATTGCAAGTACTATACGTTGTACCTTTGTCGTGTCCATGAGGCAATATTGAGTAATAAAAAATAAGTATCGTGTTAGCTCGATATTCAATCAATTTAATTACGGCTGAATCTTGAATTAATTGGATCGATTGGTTGCCGATGTAACATATGCATAAAGAAAACTATAACTTCGAACTAACTCCAAACCAAAAGCAAGTTTGCGGGACGAGAATTGTTCAATATCATATAAAATAATTAACTACAATCTATGTTTGATAAAATAATATGCAGGCTCAACTTGGGCAGCAAAATATACGGATAAATCTGTCTTTCATAATAAAAAACAAACTTTCTTAAAACGTATAAATAACTCAATTCTAAAACTTAGCTCATAAAGTAAGGTTATTCATATCAATATCACTAATAACCTCAATCAATATGAAAGTCCAATATATATTATTTGTCTAGTTGGACATATCCTAACGAAAGTATTAGAAAAGGCCTATTTTTGGGTCGGGATGATATTCTCAATAAGTTTTTATTTTTTATTTTCAATGACTCAAAGTCGAGATCTCTGATTAAAAGTGAAGCAATCTCAATCATTCTATCACAGCTCATGTTTCTACTTATGAGGTTCACGTATCCATTCCTAAGATATAATTAAAATATTCTTTTTTTATATATTTCAATTCTCAAACCTAGCAATGTAAATTAACTGCAAAATTGTTTCCCATGCAATTTATTGTAGAAGCAAATTGCTTGACTTTTTTGCATATATGATCAGAGAGTGAACACGATTGATGAGTGGCTATGTACTTGCAATATTAATTACATCATAGCTACTTATATCCACTTGAGGCAATTCAACTTAGTAAAAATTGGTCGGGTTGAATTACGATTCTTTTAAAACTTATTTCATTTCACGTAACTTTTGAATGGATTAATTTAGACTTGTTCATTTATTAACTCGGTCTATTTTAGCCTATACAAATTCAATTCAATTCAATTCCATTGACTCTCTTAGCTGTGAGTATAATAAAATATTCTTCCTAGGTGTTTAAAATGGTTCATGCATATGCACCAATTATATACCAATATATATGCCTAACAAGCACGGCACTTGCTACTATCAACAGTCAATTAATCAAAGTCTCTGTATGTATATCTTGAACCACCAATGATATAAAAACAAACATGTATTTTTGCTATCAGATACACTGAAATAGGGAGAGAGGTGAGCAAGAGAGGAGGGAGGCGAGTGAGATAGTTTATGTATCCCACATACATGTAAATCACTCTTGTATGATCTGGAATATGAGATATATTCTGAAATATAGATATATGAGAAAAGAGGCGAGCGAGATAGTCAAATACATGTGAATCCACTTGTATACAAGGGTGGCTCAATGCTTATAAAAATGAGGCATACGTCTTAGGCCGCCAAATTCGAAGGGCCATAATAATAAAATTATTATAAGTTTTTTTAACAAAAAAAAAATATACTATATTTTTTAATTTATTTGTCATATTTTAGTTTCTTTCGAAATATTAAAGAATGTTTCTTTTTGGTGGTCAATTTTTAAATTTAACTTCCACATGATATGTTTAACACCACAAGATTACAAAATATTTTGATATATATAGTTTAAGACCATAGAAAAAATAAAGTTTTTTTTATTAAAAAGAAAGAAATAACTTTGAATCCCAATAATAAAAAAATTATTAAAAGTTAGGCATCAAATTTATTTTTGGCTTTAGGCCAACTAAATAAATTGCACTAATTTTGAACTCATCTCCACAATCCAAATTCTAACAAATTTCATAATATTAAAAACTCGCGTGAAAGAAAGTATTTACTCATAAACTAGTAAAATTTATACTGTTTATCCAAAAAAAAATGACCTTTTATATCATTTTAAGAGTTGATGACCTAAAATATTAAGAGTCCACAAGACCCAAAACATTGAGCCCACAATTGGACCTAAAAAAAATAAATAGATATGTCTCAGACCAAGCGGCAGGCCCAATAATACAACCAGTTAAGATCAGATCCAATGCTAAAATGTGGAAAGATGCAAAGGCCAACGAATATGGCGCCAACTAAGGGTAGAGAATAGATAACAACCTAATAATAAGTTAGCTGACTTTTTCCCTCGCAATACATTTGGCAAGCCCCACATTCTTCAATTACCGATTTTTTAGTTCATTCATCCAAATTATTTTTTTAAAAAAAATATTACTTATTATTATAAAACAAAATTACATTTTCATATCTCAAACTTTTTCATCAATCACAATTTTTCAAAACAATTTCTGAAAATTTGTTGTGAAATTGAAGTGAAAAATCTCTTTTCGTTTTGATACATTTTTTCTTTCGCTCTCTCTGCGAATAAAGCTCTTTTTTTTAAATCTTACAAGATAAAGAGTTGTTCGCAGAGAGAGTTGAAGAAATATATTAATTACTACTAATTAATAATTAATTAATTAACAATGGCGATTAATGGTTCTTCTAGTAAGGTGATGGTTGACTTCTTTGTTGCATTTGCCTTAATTTTCTCCATCTTGTTGCCTACTGCTCAAGCCCAACAGCCTTATGCTCCGGCCCCTGCTCCGACAAGTGATGGTATGTTTTTTTTGTCATAACAGCTTTATTATGAGTTCACGTGAATTTAGTAATTTTTGTCCAAATTTTCTATACATGTTTAGTTTTTATATGATTAAACCCGTTATTATGGCACATTTGACTTAAGGTTCTTGTAAAAATTCATAAACTTAGAATTTTGAACTGAATCGTCTTTGAGTATACTAGAATTCGATAAATTTTGTTTGTAGCTTGAATGTATAATAAGAAATTACTATATGTTAATGTGTCATAATGATAATAACTCATAAACTTCAAATCTGAATCCCACAAAAAATATGTTGTTTTGTTGTTAGTTTAAATTTGTTGATCGATCGATTCTAGTATCTTTTTGTTCGACTTAGATGTTCTTTGCATATAATTATGTTTTGGTAGAAATGATATTGGTGAACATGATGTTCACCAGAATTCTTGTGCCAAATTAGGCAGCCTAATATTTTTGTTTTATATTCTTGGTAACATAGGCCTTTTAGAATGAGATATTTTTGTTTTTCAGACGATATTCAATATTTGTTAAATTTGAATATAGCTTGGGAGAAGCACTTATTACCATTTTTTTTACTCTGTTGGGAAAAATAATACTTTTTTTGCTGTCCTATTTACATAACCATGTCACTCATGAGATAATTATAGATTATTTAATAGTCTAATATGTTTTTAGCTAATTAATATTATTTAATAGTCTAATATGTTTTTAGCTAATTAATTTTATTGTTGTGTTCAGGAACAACAATTGACCAAGGGATTGCATACGTATTAATGTTGTTAGCATTGGCAGTTACATACTTCATTCACTAAGTTGATGTTCCCTTTAGTGTCTAATTAATTATTAATTGTATTTTGGTGAAGATGATTAATTAATTTTGTCAGTGCCTATTATTTTGACATATACATGAAATATATATAAGGTTGTTGTCATATTGTGTTGCTAGGACATGTAAATTTTGTCATCTTCATTCTAACTTTTGACAAGCTATTAATTTGCTTTGAGATTTTTCAACAAAATCCATGTATTTCCACAATTTTTTTTGGATCTTTTTTTTTTAGTTATTAGCCAATGTTGATCATCTTTACAATGGCCAATTCCATCATAAAATTTTTATTATGATGTATGGATCAGCTTGACACACATTTTGAATACAGTCTTTTGCCTTATTCTCTTTTTTTGTTGATGTTATGTAATACATGAAGTTATAAACTTGAGAAAAGAAAAAAAAAACTAATATAGGAGAAAGGAAACTCAAATATTGACAATGGTGATTAGATCATTATTCGAACTAGTAATATTTATGCAAAGATGTTGGATATTCTGTATTTTTGTTTGTGGGCCTGTATTAGGTGTTTCAGATAAGGCCCATAAATGTGGACTTGGGCTTTCATCCTACATTTGTGTATTTTAAGCCCAAATTGCTCCAACTTGCAATTTAATGTCATTATACCAATTAGTTGAGATTATGTTTTAGTCTTTCAAGGAATGTCAAATATAATATGCTGATAAAAATCTAAATAAATTATAGTAAACTAGATTATTTTATTTTATTTTAATAATAAGACTTAGATGGTTTATCTAGAGTGACATGAACAATGAGAACTCATATAATTGACCACAACTTAATTATTATTGTTTCATGGGATACATGACCAAGCAATCAAGTAATTCAAAAGTGGGATTCATACTACAACTTGGATTGTCCGGTGCGAATTGAATTAGTAAGTCCCAAATCGAGTATCAAATATCGAGTGAAAAATCAGGAAAAAACTTTGAGTTGCTCCAATGAAAACTATTGATTTTGGAGTTGACTATATCCTTTGACTTTTTCATTAGAAAAACATATCCTATAAGCATTTTA